CACCAACTTAAAATGCCTATTTTGGTTTGATTGCTTGTGTTACATGAGAAAATAAATAATTTTGCCTTACTGATGCAGTAGCCTATTTAATGCGGGCGCGGTTCAGGTCGCGGTCTTATAAGTCAAACGGGTTGGGTACATAATTAAATTGGTGCTGGCTGCTGTCGGATAACGGGTCGGGTGTTCTGTTGTGTACTGCGGATGCAGGTTTACCTAACAGGACCCGTGCAGGACTCTGCTTTAAACTGCTTTGCGTCTCTCCATCAGATAACCTCACGTGCATGATGCGCCATTTACGGGTATTTCCCTAAACCGACACACATCAATTTATTTAGATTTTTTTTCAGTTTACGAAAATGTTTTTTGAAATATCGAAATATCGGAAATGTGTTTAAAAATCGTATCACCGTTATTGAAAAAAATTATATCGCGATACATATTGATATTGAATTATTGTCCAGCCCTACGGTAGCCATTGACTTCCATAGTATGAAGAAGAAAAAAAAAATACCATGGAAGTCAATGGCTACCGTCAACATTATTCAAAACATCGTCTTGGGTTAACTATCCCTTTAACTCACACTTCAGCATTCAAAAACTAACCAGCAGTGATAACGATATTTGCATACTGAGTTGCGATTTGCTCCTACATCTGTTTGCATACTGGAATGTGATTGGGCCTTTTGATTTTGCATCCATTTACTCATTATCATATATATATATATATATATATATATATATATATATCATTCTCGTTCACCATTCCTGGCTGGTGGAACGATCTTCCCACCCCTATCCGGAATGCTGAATCCCTGACAATTTTTATAATCTCTCTCTTCTTCTATCTATATTTAGTTGTGCTTACTAAGGCAAGCATCACTATTACTATTGCTCATACTTAAGGTTGGTGATTTGAACAAACCCCTAACCCTAAATATAACATTTGGGCAACGAATCTGCACGCTTCTGCTACGGGAATGAATGATACTTCAAGTTATTTGACACGGGCAAAAATTCTAGTTTTGCTTAACTTTATCACTCTTCTTTTGCTGCTTTGCAAGCACTTGTATTTCGTTAATGGATTCTAGTAAATAAACAGTGCTCATGTTTTTACCTTCTAGTTCTACTTAAAACTTTATCACTGTTCTTTTGCTGCCTTGCAAGCACTTGTATTTCATGTATGAAACAGTCCTAGTAAATAAACATTTCTGTTGAATTTCAGAACTTCAGTATTGTTAAATGTGTAACTATTCTATATAAGGAAAAAAAGAAATGTCTCACGACTTTACCGTTTTTATTTTGCAGTTGAATAATTTGGACCCAGAGCTGAAGAACCTGTTTGACATGTGTGGCATCTCTGAGGCCCAGCTCAAAGACAAGGAGACGTCTAAGGTCATCTACGACTTCATTGAGAAGAAGGGCGGCGTAGAGGCTGTGAAGAATGAGCTGAGGAGACAAGGTGAGACTGATCGCTGTCAGACTCAACACCTGCGATTTGTGGCCTCATCATATTCACATGTCTGTCCACCAACCATCCGCTGTCAGAAAGTCAGGCCTGAATCGACAAAACTAGCCTAAAACTTCCCCTAACTAGTTATTTCTTGAGTCATTTCTCAGTGAAAACAAAGTGATGCATGAAACAGCGAAGCCAATATGTCCTTTCATGACATTAAAATAATGTGGCTGTAACACATTCCTCAGAGGATTTTATACAGAAGTTGGGTGCATATATTAGCATTTTATATTTGATCAATATATGTGGTTTTCCTTCAGGTCCTCCCAGGTGGTGCGGTAGGTGGAATGTGTGTGTTTCTGAGTGAAACCTGCTTAGATTTGCATGTGTTAGAGGTCTGATTCTTTGCAGGTTGGCATGGAATGTGTTTTTTTTAATACTTGGATGACATATTTTAGGTGTGAGGTTTTACCTACAGCTAATGTAACTTCATGGAATAGCATTTGTGCATATGGATATTTTCCATGATTCTTCATGAGGCATTTGTTTACTTATGTTGATCTTTTAAAAACATGTTTGATCTCTTAAAAAAATGGCATTTGTTGCTGATTGGTGTGGTGCAAAATTTTGTTTGGTTTTTCCTCTAGAGTGAAGGTCTTGCTCTAGTTTTAAAGACCCCATGAAATGAAATTGACACTGCATTATTGATGTATTAGATGAAACGGGGAGATAGACAGGGCGATATTGAAGTGGTTGTAATTTTATTTTAGTTTATTGGCTGTTAGCTTTTACTACAATCCGTTAAAAAGGCTGTGAATGGGACAGCGACGGGATATTCTAGTGGGAAAATATTTTCAATTATGCATACTTTTGCTGTTTCTCGTCATACTGTAACCATCTACTACTGAAGAATCACTGCTTAGCTGTAGTTTATAATACTTGACAATATGTAGAATGACTGAGTAACTGGTCATTGTTAAAGTATTTTTCATTTCATCTCCAGTGTATTTAAGTCAAATTTACAGTTTGGTGAATTTTTGTGGGTGAAAATTTGACTAAATTTAGCTAATGTGACTGCTCCTTTAGTTTTTAAATGGGATCTGTGTAGCTATTTTTCATTGAAGATATTATAAATAATAAATTGTTATTGTTGTTATAATTATATATCATGTATTTCAGTAATTTATTGTACTTAATTATTATCGTAATTTTTTATTGTTATTTTTGTTTATGGAATGAAATTAGTTTTCACATAAGAGAAAATGTATTTCACATATATCTGCTAAAAGTTATTTTTCCTCAATAATTAGAATTACACTAGCATACAGATGCTTCAAAGCTAATAGACATGAATTTAAAACTCCAGTTTTAGTTTCATGGAGTCTTTAAATTATACTAATGATGCCATCTCTTGGAAAGTTCGTATTTATGAGTTAGGAAGTCATAATTATGATGTGAGATGCGTTCAAGTAGGGCTAGGCGATATGGGCAAAACATTATAACGATCATTTTTTTTATATCAGTCGATATCGTTAATTATCACGATAAATGTCAAATCTTTATTTATTTCAAGCCAGATTTTTGCTCCAAAGTGAAAGTTGTTGAAACCAGACTGTTAATTTTCCTTAACAACATAAATATCTTAACAGAAAATTGTATTTCTTAGTTTCTGCATGTTCTAATTAGTGAAATTGTTTCAATTCAAGAATCAGGTTTGTGTTGCCTGATATTATTAATGATATTATTATTAATATTATTACGTTTTTGTCTCTTAGAAATGCACATTTATAGTAGTAGTAGCTTGAGTTAAGATGCAGATGCAAATTTTTGTTCATTATCAAAATCGGTAACATTTACAAAAATTGTAGCAAGCTTTTTATATGGTGAAATGTAATTATTTAATAATTATGATTTTTTTTATTTTTTTTTATTAATCATTTGTCTTCCATTTTAGCATACATTTAAAGGTCCCCTGAAGTGCCTTGAAACATGCAGCATTATTCTATGTGGTGACGTGTAATTTCAACTGATACAGGAAGAGAGGGCAGGACATATCGAGCAGCCCCGCCTCCTTTTTAAAATGGCCAATAGCATTTTGTTTATATCTGCTCGGGCCAGAGCCGTTGAGCTTGGTAAAGCCGCATTTGACAGCCACAGTCTAATAGACTACCCCCTAGATTCAATATGAAACTCTTTGTAAAACAACATAGTGGTCATAATCATGCTGAGGCTGTGTAGTTGCAAAAGTGTTTAATATATGCCGACTCGCGCATATGATCCGCTCTGTGTGCGCTGCCGCGGTTTGTGTGAAACAACGTGAAACCAGACCTCATTTGCACCAATCGAAAGCATATTTACACTGTCTGAATCGTTCCCTATCACGTACATTGTGCACTTCGAGCCATTCACTGTACAGGAAATACTACACTGTGAACAAGTGACCGATCTCAGCCGCTTCAGCGTCTATTTATAGTGCAGGGGGCGGGCGCTTCGGATTCTAGAGAGCATTTGATTGGACAAAGTTTGATGAGAAGATGAAGTACGATGTGACGTCAAAAAAATCATTGAGCCGTTTTGGCAGAAGTGACGAATTGCAATCTTTGAATGCTTATATCTTATAAATGCGAATTTTGTCACTGTTTTGGAGCACACTGCCTTATAGATAACCTTAAGACTAACATATTGATACTAACACCCAAAAAACTTTAATTTTGATTTCATGGGGACTTTAAATCACGATAAACCACACATATAGCACCTCAATACCATGGTAAAAATATAACTATATGGTTTTTAGTTATCTGTATGAAAAGCAGTAGTGTAAAGACATTTAGTGTAAATGCACACATGCTATAGCTTAATCACAAATAATACTCTATATTCCATTACTCCTTTAATACATTTAGTTCATGTCTACATTAATAATACAGTCAAATTCAATACAAAAAACCCACAATTCTGCCACAACACCACAGTACAGTTAGTGATACTACAGTAAATCCATGGTAAATGATGGCGATTTATAGATTGAAAAGCTTTCTGACTATATCGTTGCGCAAAGTGTTTCTCCTGAAATCTTCACTGAATTCAAGCGTTATAGCAATTTAATTCAAGGATTGTTCACCGAAAAATGAAAATTACTCCATGATTTACTCACCCTCAAGCCATCCTAGGTGTATATGGCTTTCTTCTTTCAGACGAGTTATATAAAAAAATGCCCTGGCTCTTCCAAGCTTTATGGCAGTGAATGGTGGTCGAGATTTTGAAGCCCAAAAAAGTGCATCAATCCATCATAAAAAAGTACTCCACACTGCTCTGGAGGATTAATAAAGGCCTTCTGAAGTGAAGCAGTGTGTTTGTGTAAGAGAAATATCAAAATTTAAAAACTTCATAAACCGAAATCTCTAGCGTACACGAGAAAGTGACATTCCAGCAGATGACGTAGACATAGTGTAAGCTCCGAAGTGACGAATGCCATATTTTCTCACTGACACACTTCCAACTCGGAAACTGAGGGTTTAGAGAAAGTCCATGCCACCTCCCCCACCACCACCACCTCCATCCGGAGGAGCCGCCCCGCCTCCACCTCCTCCTCCACCACCTCCTCCTGGACCTCCTCCACCCCCTGATATGGACGGAGGCCACAGTGAATCAACGCCCTCGCCCATGGGCGGGAAGTCAGCTCTGCTGGAGCAAATCAGAGAGGGCGCTCCGTTAAAGAAAGTGGAGCAAAACAACAGGCCAGTGTCGTCCACAGGACGGGCAATTTAATTCAAGGATTGTTCACCGAAAAATGAAAATTACTCCATGATTTACTCACCCTCAAGCCATCCTAGGTGTATATGGCTTTCTTCTTTCAGACGAGTTATATAAAAAAATGCCCTGGCTCTTCCAAGCTTTATGGCAGTGAATGGTGGTCGAGATTTTGAAGCCCAAAAAAGTGCATCAATCCATCATAAAAAAGTACTCCACACTGCTCTGGAGGATTAATAAAGGCCTTCTGAAGTGAAGCAGTGTGTTTGTGTAAGAGAAATATCAAAATTTAAAAACTTCATAAACCGAAATCTCTAGCGTACACGAGAAAGTGACATTCCAGCAGATGACGTAGACATAGTGTAAGCTCCGAAGTGACGAATGCCATATTTTCTCACTGACACACTTCCAACTCGGAAACTGAGGGTTTAGAGAAAGTTCAAAGATTCCCACTCATAATTATGGCTTTGTGGTGGCATTCATATGCGTTCAACTCAGAAATATGGAGAGTCTGCATATTTATTTATTTTAATGCTAACAAATCTGTTTCTACTCTTGCAGCACCCGTGGAGCAAAACAACAGGCCAGTGTCGTCCACAGGACGGGACGCGCTACTCGACCAGATCCGACAGGGCATCCAGCTCAAAACGGTGAGGACTGCCAACGCTAACACATCCTGATGTGTCCCAGACAAAGGTGGAGGACCACCTGCTCACCTGTCAATCATCCATTGTGTTAAAAATAAGGTTTTAAACTGCCAGTTACATGTGCATCTGGCAAATCAGACGTTGTCATTATATACGTTTTTTTATACAGCTTTATTTTATTTTTAGGTTTATAATTTAATTTTATTTTAGATGTGCATATATATATAGATGTGTATATGTGAAACAGTGGTGGTCACAAGGAACATCTTATGCAAAAACATACTGTAATACTTTTTTTATATATATATATATAATAAAATAAAATTATAAAATTGATTTTATTATTAAAAAATGTATTGTATTATATTTGGATTATTATATATGTGACCCTGGACCACAAAATGAGTCATAAGGGTCAATTTTTTTTAAATTGTACGTCATATGAAAGCTGAACAAATAAGCTTTCCATTGATGTATGGTTTGTTAGGATAGGACAAGATTTGGCCGAGATACA